AGATTTGCTATGCCAATGGCTTCCGCAATCAGGACATCGTCATGATCCCCTCGCGCGAGCTCATCATTGTCCGCATGTCCATGCCGTCCTTCGCGACCTTCCTGTCGTGGAGCCGGATGTCGTACATCGAGCGCATCGCCTCTTGCTTCCCCCGGGTACATTGACAGGCCCGGGGAGCCTTGCGGGATGCCGGGGCCGGGCCTCTTCCGGTGGAAGGCCGCGAGTGGCGGTCCACCGAGGCGGGGCCCGTTGCTCGTGTACTCGGCGCGGAGTCGGGCGGCGCACCCACACCGACCGAGGAAGACCGGCCAAAGATCGTGATAGGAACCGCGCTCGCCACAGGCAGAAGCGCACTTGCATGACCGAGCGGGGGTCGGCAGGCGGGGGAGGGGAGGCCTTTGGACAGTGTCCCAAGAGCAACATGTGAGGAATGGGACCGACCAGGCGAGGCCCGCCGCACACCATCCCTTGTCAGGCAAGAATAAGTCAAGTAGTTGAAGTAGCCATTTGAAGCAAGAGACTCGAGCAGGAGGGGGGGGGGGGAGAAAGGAGGAAGAGGCGGCGGAAGGGGACGGTCGTGGCGGCTTGGGGGGAGGGGGGGTCACTCTTTTTTCTTTTTTGCCAAGACGTGAGAACCAAGCAAATACCGTTCGGGATCAGATGCCTACGGAGGGGAAGGTGACTGGGTGGGATGGGTTTGCTCAAGTGCGGGAGGGGGGCGCAAGAGGAAAGGGGAACAACAGTCATATGGATCTGATGCCATGTGTCCGGAGCCAAGAAGGATCGTATGTTTGCAGCTATATTTAAGGGCATCCCTGTGCTCGAGAGAGAGAGAGAGAGGGAGAAAAAAAAAGAAAAAAGACACCCCACCCAGGGGGCGTGAGATTAGTGAGGGAGGAGAGGGAGGAGAGGGAGGATATGGGGGGGGGGGGGGGGATAGAGATCTGTTCACCGATGGAGATATTACGCCAGCCCCCTCGCATTCCTGGACCTGGCCGCGGGAGATGGCATAACCATCAAACGGCAAGAGAGGGGGGGGGGTCATAATTTCTTGCTTTTCCTCTGCCGCCACCACCACCACCACCACCACCAAGGCGAAGAGCTCAGGGAGGGGCATATGGCTGCCGGAGGCGGGAAAGCGAGGGCGCCGGTCCACAGGGTGTCGACATTCTGCCAAATGGGAGTGATTCGACCCACACACCAAGGAGAAGGGAGAGGCAGGAGGAAGGCGGCACTGCACCGGAGGCGGGACGACAGCAGCGGGGGGAGGGGAGGGAGGCGATAATCAAGGACAAAGGAGAAGAAGATCACACAAGTTCAGAAACCATGAGCACCTGAGTGCGCGCGGGTGGTCGGAGGGGGAGAGGAAGGGGAATGAAGGCAGAGGGGAGGAGGAGGAAAGGAGAGGGAGGGAGGGAGAGAGGGAGAAAGAAAGAAGGCAGTCTCGCCGTCTAGACGGGGGAAATGTTGGAGCCGGAGCTACGATCGCCGAGAGAGTTCAGGGGGAAACCGTCCTCGGAGGGCGACAGAAACCGATAATCCTGGGGGGGGCGGTTGTAATGGCGCTCGACGGGGAAGTAAGAGTAGAACACGACGAAGAGAACAATCAAGCCTGGGAATTGGCACGATGCGGAGGACAAGCGGCGGAGGAGGAAAGGAGCACGCGTCAGGAAGTGAGACAACAGGGGGGAGAGAGAGAGAGAGAGAGAGGGCACTTGAACGGGGTGCGCACCGAGGATACCACCGGCCAGGATGTCGCCCGGGTGGTGGCGATTGTCGACGACACGGCTGAGGGCGATGAGGCCAGCACCGACGAAGGGGATGGAGGCCAACACGGCACGAAGGCCGAAGCCGCGGCTGCCGAGCCCGGCACGGCGACCGCAGGGGATCAGGTCGTTGCTCAGGAGATCGATGTTCTCGTAGATGTAGAGCCCGGCAAAGCCGAGGGCCGAAAAGGAGAAAGACGAGTGGCCGGAGGGGAAGGACCGGCGGCCCTCATCGACGATCTCCTTGGCCCCGGTGCAGGTCTTGGTGACGGCGTCGTACATGCACCGAGACCAGAAGTCCGGCCGGAAGCGGCCGACATACTCCTTGAAAATGTGGGTGGCCAGCAGAGTGATACCGACGATGGTGGCGAAGCCTGATTTTGTGGCCCCGCCGGACGGGGGACGGGGGGGGGAGGCAGAGGAGGAGGAGGAAGCCGAAGGGCATATGGGTGAGCAAAAGCACGGGGCATGGCGAGAGGGGGGAGGGGCCGGGAGAGGGGCCGGGAGGGGGCTTGGGCAATGAAGGGAAGAGGGGCCGCACAGATGATGGCCTCAACGATGTCCGGGCGGCGGCGGCGGAGGTGGCGCATGAGGGATCCAAGCAGGACAATCAGAGTCGGGCATACAAGGCAAATGATGATGAGCATGGCGTTGGGCACGCGCTCCGGCTCGGCCACCGGCAGCCAAGTCTCCGGCGGGGGGATCTCGCCCGGGAGGGGGCGCTCATGCAACGGCAGGAGGAAGTATGTGATAATATAACTGACACCGATGATCAGCAGGCCAACCAGGTCGGGGAAGATGGTCCGCAGGAAGAACCACGGTGACCCGTAGACCTCCTTGAAGGAGGGGTAGTCGGAGGACATGATACTGCTCTTGGTCGACAAGATTGCGAGGTGGCAAGGAGGGAGAGGGAGGCGGGGGGGGGGGGG